GCAGGTCTAGACCGAACTCCTTGAACATCTTGTCATCAATTGATGTTTAACAAGTTAAAGACACTATAGAAAAACAGCCATCATACCTGATTTATAAACCTCTCAACACACACACTGTCATACACAGTCCAGCTATATATAGAGTTGTTCCAATACTAATATCAATAACGGAAATTCCTCCAGTACTGTCTAAAATGCGATAGCAGGTATCGGGGAGTATGCATGCCTGTGCACCACTCTGATACCTCGTAACTTATAAGCCCCAAACACCATTTATTTTTATCCCCCAGGATAGTGTTTTTTTTTTTTTTTTGTATTGTATACTGATACAAGTATCAGTTTGCTTGTCAGTACCAACGATACGTAAAATTAAGATAGGAGAACAGTTATTGGGGGAAAAAACAGTAGTCCAGCCATAATCTAGGTGTTCTAGTCTTGATAATGCTAGAGCAACTGTTGATGAAAATTACAAAAAAAATGCAGTTGCATAATGAAAAAAATACAAAAACAGTGTCAAGTTTTATGAAATGGGAGGTGGGACTCCAAAGTAACACCAATAACTTACAAAACCTAACACCACCATTGCAAACCTCAAAAGCAGAAGTACATTACAAGAAGCAAACACAGCAGACCATCCCCCATTTAAGGAATAAAACATAAGATTTGTAGTTACAGCTCACATTTAAGACTGCTGGTGACAATATGTACAAGATGAAGACAGAATCCCAAGGTCCGACAGTTACTTTTAATAATCACTTTGTTGGTGTGTCTGCAGGTAAGATTTAGTTCCACCTGATTTTATAGAAAAATACAATAGAAATAACTCTCAAAACATATTTTGCTGTTGCATATAATTGTACAAAATGTCTCAAATTAATCCTCAACTCCATCTTATGCATTTTGTCACTTTAGATACTAAAATAATACTTAAAAATGTTTGTGTATGTCATTTATACTATTTCGGACAAACCCGAAGAAGAGGATGTCTATGCTAATGCCGAAATGTGTACTGTGGACGAAAGGCCTGCCACTACAGGTACATAATAAACACAATGTACTAATTTAATTAGATTAAGCCTTTTGTGCAACACTGTTACATCGATTAATCACAGTAGTTATCTTAAGATACTGTGCATTTATAGATGTTTCCATTTAATTTTCTTGTAAAAATCTACAAAAAGCACATCTGACAGTTCAATTTTATTATTTTGATGATACAAATAAATTCCCTTTTTTTGTCAGAAAAGAAAATTCCCCCCATTATTCAGTCTTTGATACCAGTTGCAGTGTGTTGGGGGATACTGTTGATAATCATGGCTCTCCGTATCCACTGTAAGTAGAAACCAAATGGCCACTTGATTTTTCAAGCATGTATGCTAAATATGCCAAATATGCAAATTTATTTGGAGGATGACATCAATATCATGTATGTGGATCAAGTATTTAAGTACATTTTTCTGCACATGAGCTAAGTTTATGGCTGCTCGAATATGGCAAAAATTCTAATCACAATTATTTTGGTCAATATTGAATTCATGATTATTAAACACAATACAACGATTCTCATTTACAGTTGATTATATTATACACCTATGAATATTATATTCCATTTCTGACAATAGATCCTCTTAAATGTTATACACTGGAGCTTTAACATGCCACAGCCAGGCTGAGAGTGAGTTAGGGCTTTTAGGGAGGGGTGAAAACGCACTGCAAGGAAAAGGGTGCGTTAGATTCACAACACGAGACACAATAATACACATAATCATTTTATATTGATTATCGTTATTTCATAATTGTTGGAAGTTAAAATCATAAATTTAAAATAAAATTGGATTAAGTGCCCAACCCTATGTAAGAGGTGTTATGTTTTTTCAGTATTTAACTGAAACCATAATCTTTCCTTAAGCTTAATTACAGTTCTTTTGTTGTCAAAACATTGTGCAATCAAGGTGCAAACTCCAGTTTCTGCTGTCACAGTCCTATGCTTTGTACACCCACCATCTTCCTATGACTACTGTGTGGGACAAGAATATAGCGAGTCCTTGACTGAAAAGAGGTTGTCAGTAAACACAGTCCAGACAGCATCCAGACATTTCCTTGAAAACATCCATCCATCACACCACCTCTATATGAGGACTCTCTTTATGCTACCTCACGAGACTTTTACAGCAGGCAATGACGCTAGAAGGGTACCTACAGCATCTTATGACCAAGTTGCAGTATTCAATGATTTAGTAGTGAGACCGAGTTGTGGTCATGGTTTTATCCTGCTTCCAGTCTAAGCTAACCAGATTTTGAAAAAAGCTCTGTAACACAGAGATATGTGATTTTATATCCATCGTAACATCTCGCTCTCAATTAGAAAGCAAATATGCGTATTTCCCCAAATATTTAACTATTTCTCTAAGAAACATGGTTTATCATGGCTTCTAACCTTTGTTCACACTTTGAGATTACTACGTTCAGATGCCTTAGAGTAGTAGCCTGTCAAGGAATTGTTAAATGTTAGCATGTATTACAAACGACCGTTCTGATTCTTTTATGGTTGTGCAAAGCATTTTGAATTGCTTATATGTATGATATATGCTGTTAGGATAAATTTGTCTTTGAACAAATTCTTACAAACAAACAACTACTTGTTCTTTACATTCTAGTTACCTCTGTCATTTCCACCATGCTGAGTGATCAGATGAAAGGTTCAGAAGAAGCTGTCCAACAGTGCATAAATGTCATCAACAACCTCTCCTTCACCAATAATAACTTGAAGAGGGACCAGAGCACTCAAGACATCCAGATAGAAGAACTGGCACAAGCCAATGCTGTCTTAAAGGGAAAAATCACACAACTGAGTGAAGAAAACCAACAGGTGAAAGCTGAAAACCAACAGGTGAAGGACGAAAACCAGAAGGTGAAAGCTGAAAACCAACAGGTGAAGGACGAAAACCAAAAGGTGAAGGACGAAAACCAACAGGTGAAGGACGAAAGCCAAAAGGTGAAGGACGAAAACCAACAAGTAAAGGACAAAAACCAGCAAGTGAAGGCAGAAAACGAGCAGGTGAAGAAAGAAAACGAGCGGCTAAGGGTAGAAAACCAGTCGCTGAAGGAAGGACAACAGGCAACTACACGAAATTGGCGAACAGATAACCCAAAAGACCATAGTACAACAGGAGAGTAGAATGGGCTGTAGCAAGGGGTAAAACCTTTTTATATACAGAATAGTGTTTACTAACCTTTTTACAATGGCTTATTGCTTGTCATTGTAAAAGGGTTGAGTCAAATTTAGCTCAGTTCAGAACACAACGTGACCTTGCCAAGTGTTACCTGGCACACGTCCCCTTCTCTCTCTCCTCTGCCCTCTCACTCTCTCCTAAATGGACAGCGTGGCTTCGGGGCTTGCAGGCTAATAACATTAAAGTGCTGTGGCATTGGCGCACCCCCACCAACTTGGACAAAATAAAAAAAAACAGCTAGAGGTTTGAAATAGTAAATAGTTATTGCTTGTTTATCAGTTAGTATGATAATTATGTATATAATTATTATATAAAGCTGCGGTCAGACAGAGTCCAAGGCCCCCAAGATTCTTCCCTTTGCTCGCCATTTTCTCCATGTAAATAAAATTGTAAATAGTTTTAACAGCTGACACTGTAAATCCAATAAATTGAATAATGTACAATTGAATGTTGATTTATTTTCCATAATGATTTGTATCCCACACCAGTACATTAGTATTATTATTATGAAAGTAAATATTTATAGGGCTATATGATTTGGTTTCAGAGGTTCAAATTCAAATATGCCATAAGTATATAAATATATATGTGAGTAGATTTTGTTTGCTTATCTGTATATAAATATATTTTACATTTTCTTGTACAACGTAAACGTCTGTTTCCCATGCCAATAAAGACCCTTTGTATTGAACTGAATTTGATATTCATATTAATATTTTATTTTTGTGTACATTTTATATGTACACTGAAACTTATTTTATTTAAAGAAAGCACCTTTTAATCACAGCATGTTAGTTTTTATAGAGCAGACCCTCTACGAAGTTGTAATGTGGCAATCACAACAATTAATGCAAATTCAATCACTGTGAATTTTGCACGACTGTGCACTTCAATCACCACAACTTTTCAGCAAATTTGACCAATGGTTGTGGTTTCTGCACAAACCATAATCACTTCTTTGTTTAAGTTGTGAAGATGCAGAGCATGCACAACTACCTCCTCACATTTACCCTGCCCAAACAGTACAATTTTATTCTCACTGGAACAAGTTGAACTTTTTTGCAACATTGAAATCAGGTATTGTAGGCCACAACAAAAAAATCTGTAATTGTCAGGGATTCTGATTACATGTATATATTACTGTTAGGAAAAAAATCACAATATGAAGAAAGTGAGTTTTGCTTTTTTGTTTAGGGTGAACCTTTTGTAACCCAACTTACAACCACCTATTCGTTTAAGACAACCATGAAAAAATGATTTAATAAAAATTCCAGTTCTTCTATCCACTTAAACAGAAAATTGTGTTTTACCATAAAAGGGAGAAGGAAGCATTTTTTTAGTGTTAATGCATGGCCAATGTCAGAGGAACACATTTCAGTAGTACATTTTTGATGTGTTTTTTCTGTCTTTTTTTCTCAAAATGTCATACTTGGTTCGTCTTAAAGTGAGGGTTCATGTTTTTATCGGACACCTCAATGAAAAAAAATATTAAAAGTTAAAATAAGAGTTCAGTGGTAGCAATCAGCTATGTTCTGAAGAACAACAAAAAACAATCAAGATCTGCTTCTTATCCTGCACTTTACTCTGTTCTCACACACAGACAGACACTCACCTAAAGAGATAACACACAATTAAAGGGTTTGGGGAAATGAGCAAAGGATGGTTTCCAGATACACACACAAACATACACACTCAAACACACACATTCATAATAAGACTCAGAAAATCAAGGCTATATAGAAACATTAAATATACACTATTGAGATAGGATACAATATTAATAAAAAACTGTCACTACAAACAAGACTGTAATTGTGTAACAGAAATGATCATGTTGATGAATGAACATGAACACACACACTGGGTCACGGTGAGGTCCGTGGCCCAGTCAAACGGGCCGCGGCTGCATTCCTGTATTGGGGTTTGTGTTGATACGTGCGTCGCAGCGCTGTGCGGCTGTCTGGGCTCCCAGCCTGCGAATCCAAACACGGAGGGGTCAGGACCTCGCTGTATTTGTTCAATGCCGAGATAGGTGTCACCACGGTGGGGTTACAGCGAAGCAGCACCAGGCATAACTGGCTCCGGAATGACAACAAACACAGCCGGAGTGTTTTCCCGGCTAATTTGCTGGTGTTTTCCCAAAGCCAGAGCTTAGCTGACAACACAGGACGTTTAACTCGATCAGTGTTCCGTTTTTTATCCGTTTTATTTTTCACATAACGTGTTGTTGTTGCCCTCACTGCCCCTCCCCCCCAGAACTGAACCCAGTCCTGCCAGGCCCGGTCAGGCCCCGGTTCTGTTTTAATAGCTTCCTTTCATCGGCTTTAAATTGTTATGATTGGCTGTCATAATTCAGCAGCCTCTTCAGATAACAAAGTACCAACATGAAAACAAAAAAGGGCATGAACTGACAATCACCCAACCAATCAAATAGGTTTCAATGGAAATGTTATTTAAATATGGCCTTTTTATGTCTTGTGTTTCCTTTTTTTGACTTTATACGCAAATTAGAATAACATGGAGTTCTCGTTAGTTACCGTGGACAGACAGATATAGAGCCAAAAGCACAGGCCAACCATATCAGGAGTGCTAATAGTCCTCTCACATACCACACACAGCTAATATTGAGCCAACAGAGCCAAGAATGTTTTCAATTTAATCGTTTTTTATTCCTGTAAAACAAAATGTGACGCATGCTTACATAAGTGTGGACCATTGTTAAGCCTTGCTTTTAGTAAAACAAAATTGTAAGTCTTTCAGTTTGTTGCTTATGGACCTGAATAGCCCTAGGGCTGGACCTGTGTAGGTTGTACTGCCATCTAGGTGTACTTGCAGATTGCATCTCCCTCGCTTCACCCTCCCCTTCCAAGTGTGTAGAAGAAACTACAGTGGCTGTGTATGTGCTAAAGAACGTATCCCAAAAACATTGGTTCCTACAGCAGATCTTAACACAGTAAAATAATTTGTCTTTAACACAATCGAATTATTTTGACAATTCAAAGTAGATGTGAAAAAATTTATTGAAGCTACACCCCAACCAGTGATGTCACAGCATGGTGCAGGTGTTTTGGCTTTGTGGGCAAACATGGATAATTGCAGATTGGCAGGAATGGAATCAGACTTAAAACTGATGTTGATACTTTTGAAAAAACCTCTGAGCCATACTGAACCTGCTGCCTGTCTGAACAGGGCTTACATGACCGCTTCAGACTGACATTTTTTACAGTGTATCTGTCTGTCCCTGCTGTAAAAGCAGAGCAGGCTGTCTGTGTGTCTTTGTGTCAGTGTTGTTGCTGAGTGCAGTGACCTGGGGTTACACTCTCTCTGTTCCCGTTAGGGTAAATATCCCTCTATTAGCAACAAGTGGTCTGAAAGCTCTGATCCTCTCAGAGCTGCTGGCTGCTGGAAGCTTTTAGACAGGGAGGAGAGAGGGAGAGCAGCTCCGTCTGTTTAACCCTTACAGCAATCACTTGTGGCTTTCTGATCAAGTTTAGTCGAAAATGGAAGCGCCGAACTGGAGCTACATGTAGTTTTTGCTACTGGTCATGATAGAGCTTAATGCTTGTAGGTGCTTAGAAGCAATACAGGAGTGACACATTCACACCCCTTTCTTCCTGTGTGAGCCCACACACTACGGTGCTGTGGCACGTCAGACACACCACTGTCCTGTTTCCCCAGCATCACCACCTCTCCAGAAAAGCAGACATTTTTATCACATTTGCTCTCTGGATCAGCAAACCTCAGCTACTCTAGCTGCTTCAGGCAGAGATGTGTGCTTTAACCACATTTGAATGGGATTAACATTGCAGGGCTAATAAAATATTCACTTTTTGTCCTCTCTAAATTAACTCCAACCATCTCAATATCACTAGCTGTGGTCTGTAATAGACATAGACATCCTGCATATACATAGCCAAAAGAAATACTGTACCTGTAGTTGACATTACAGCAGCTCATTTGATGAGTTTATAGGGTCTTGTTCTCATGATGGCTTTAGAAGTTATATACAGAATTCACTTGCCACTAGATGTCGCACTAGAGCTCCATTTACAAAACCAGTAATTTTACCTAGCAGATTAATCGTAAAACATGACAAAACAAAACTCACTGAAACCGTCTTTGATGGTCTTTCCAACACTCAATAACACTGGTTTGATCAAAATAAACCCTTAATTCATGAGGTAGATAAGAAATTATCCACAAAATGGGCCACAGTCATAATACCGCTACTCAGCTGCACACGGAGCAGACTGGCTGTAGACAAACCACAGAGAGGCTGCGATAGCAACACAGGCAGAGGGAGTGTGACGACGTTCTCTGCTCAGACACCATGACTCCATTACATCTTTAGATAGCAAATAGTGCTCCTATATTATTTGTTCTTCCATTATTATATTGGTTCCCAGATAAAGTCTATATGTTAGTGTTTGTATGTTCTCATGTATCAGATTAGCAAAAACTTCTACCTGTAAAATAAAGTTATGTAAAAGCTACACTTTAATATACAAGAACATCATCACAGGAGGGACTTTACATGGAAATAGGGTAGCTGCTATAATTATTAGTGGGAAGGGCGTAAGGAATTACCAATTTACGAGGTCTGGATGGGGATGGAGGTGACATAATTGTATGTAAATTAAATTAAATATGCGTAAGTAAACATATGTTAAAATGTTTACATTCATGACAATAAATTGACTTCTGTTTCTCTCAATTTAAATGCTCATTGACTGAGAACAGACAATTTCAAACACAATCAAATCTGAATGACACAATTGCACTTTCTTTGACCCTCTACTCTTTCTTCATCACAGATTCAAAATGGCTTATGTCTGTTCTTATTGTAAATATTTATGACTGAGGTTTCCTCATCTTCCTGTTGCTCAGACGTTCACTCACAGTCACTGTCAGACCTAAAAGCTCTCCTCAATGTTAACACTCGAGTCTAACACTTTATTAAGACAGCTCACTTTCTGTCTTCTTCATTTGGTTTCTGTCTCACTCTGTGCTTTGTCCGGAGAGGCTGTCTCAAAACCTACAGTTGACAGCTTCGACTGCTTTAAAAGGAATCATTTATTAAAGGTGAAGTGTGTAATATTTAGGAGGATCTATTGGCAGAAATGGAATATAATATTCATCGAAAAGATTTATTTAAAAATCAATGTTTATAGTTTTATAATGAGTCATTATCAAGAAGCAGCTTCAAGAAAATTAATGAAACAAACTGGAATTATATTGCCTGTACACATTTAAGTGCATTCAAAACAAATGAGTTGTTTCAAAAATCCATTTCTGAGTTAGGTTTAATTCATGTGAATGAGTGA